AACAGAAATACTTTGCAGACGACTCCTGTGTGTACTGAGGTGTAGACATGCATGTGATTATATTAACACATTATCAAGACAAACAGATACTCCAAAGAGAAAAGTAATCTTTCACAGATCCTATCTAACGTTGACTTATAGCGATGTAGACTATTTGCGTCCATCGTTGGTTCTACGTTAACGAACGCAAAGTTTCTCCTTAGATTTGAAGCTGGTGCTGACCAGGAAGAGGCGACGAATATAGTAGGTGATCATTTTTGCCGGTTCATTGGGATGAAATCCTCTGAATACCTCCAAGATGTCTGTCTAGTTGGATCAGATTCTCGATTTGAGTGTTGTAAACACGGACTAGTGTGACTATATTTAAACGTTTTACCTTCGAAACAAAATTGACAGGTTTTGGTCAAATTAAGTCGGTCAGCGAGAATAGGCATAGTCTGGCATTACTACATAATAGTTCAAGTTACTAAACCTCACATTATGATACAAGGCAGCAACATGAAAGATAGGAATATAGAAACAGTTTAACCAAAAGTCGTTGTGTAATAAACTTGAACATTCGAATACTATTATTAGGAGACAAATTTGGTAGAATGTGGACACCAAGAGATACGCCATTCAAAATAATAAAGTAACATTATGAAAATAGAAAACAGAAGAGGGAATAGAAAAAAAATAGAAGTGACTTATGAAAGAAGCAGTTTCAAATACACAATAGAAACGTAATAGGAACGAGAAAACTGGCGTATGATCACTGGTGTTTTTGACTCTGACCCATGTCTGCTACTGTGTCAAGCCACTGAGTCACATGATCTCTCGGACGCCATGTAGGGGATCGTAAGACACCTGCAGACAGTAACTAAAGACAAATATCCGCCATTGTACGACGTCGCGTTATACGCTGGTTATCTCGTAGACCAAGCGAACAGGTAGTAATGTAGAAGCCACTGGGAAGACATACGTACACGTCTCAGCCGCTGAAGCCAGTGTTTTAAGATCATTACAATGAATGATGATCTCCACCACGCCGCCTCACAGAGTTATTTGCACGGTCTTCACCAGATGCGAGCAATCTTACGGAAACAACCGTGATCGAAAACGTAGTCACCAGAGACTAGGTTTCACAGGCTTACTGTTTAATTGCTTACACTGATGAATTGCATACGCGACCTAATCTAGATTGGTGTATGCTGCTCTAGCTTTCGATATGCAGCTGGAAATCTCACCAGTACTCACACAACTAACCAGGTAAAAAGCTTTCTGAAAACTCCCGAGGGTAAGCTCAGGCATCTGCCAATCTTGTAGAAGCACGTTTTACTTTGATGGTGCGAAACAAATAGCATACTTATGGACAATGATTGAATAGCCTGTACGTTGTTGCACCTTGAGTAAAGGTAGAAAAGTCTTTTAGCCATTAGTAGACATACACCACTACCAAACATCATGGGTGTCTCGAGAATGTCATCGATGGCACAGTTAAAGACCCAACTACTGGTTTGGAACAATATAGATAGGTGACCGTACCTTCTCCTTTACCTGGTGGGATACTGAAGTATAAGGTTTTTAATGTGCCAACAAACTTATCAAAGACAATTCTGGAGTACAACCCTGTTCAACGAGTTGAAGGCAGCACTACTATCGAGGATTACAATGGTAGTTGACCTGCAATACGTGTGTGCTCGAGTATTTGGCGGAGAATGAATACGTGGTCAATGCATCTGCGGCCTGAACGAAACTTAGCCGGCACCTAGTAGATCGATTTTTCTGTGAAGTATCATAACGACCGATGATTTAGACGCCACCGGTAGCAAGCTGATATCTCGATAATTATCACATATATTACGTAGACTCTTTCGGAAGAGTACAACAATAGCTTCACTGCAGTGAGGGGGAACTTTTAGTTAGTCATACTTCAAACCACGATGCCGACTGCTTGACTAGTCTCACCTCCTGCCTTAAGAGGAATCAGGGGTAGGTCTTCTGGCGCAGGTGCACTGTTGGTGTTCTTTACAGACTCCACTTCCACCCGTAACATACGGTCGGACATTTGCCGGCACTACAGGCGGTGTAGGGTAAAAATGTTGATCGAGCCTGTTGTATGGTCCAAGATACCAGTTTCGGCCTGTGAGGTTTGTTTTATCCGACTAGGAGTAAGGGAACGAAAAGTCCTGACATGTGGTTTTAGCGCAATTTCAAGATTTCTGTTCTGTTAACTCAAAACGTTATCATGAGTTGCAGAGGTACATGAACGTGATACAGAATTAGTGAGTAAGAGATGTGGAAAGAAACCCAGAAACTAACGAACTAGGGCAGTGATGGTGTTTATAGGGGACCTGAATGCTGAAATAGGTGTGAGGGTGGTTGACACTCATCACCCATTTACAGCCAGGCGAAGCTACAACTAATTGGTTTAGACATTCACCTTTAGACTAAGAGGTCGCGAGTTTGAATCCCACCCAAACCAACGAGATCTGGGCAACCAAACAGTACGATTGGCCTAACTAAATTAGGTGCTGCTCGTCGCCTACTCTATAAAACAGGCATGCGATTGACGAGGGTATCTCCATTTCTGTCCATACCATTAAAGTTTACTTCTTTAAGTGGCCGGAAAAGATAGTGGAGTAGTGAGGGTGGTCTTACAGACCTAACTGCGTGACTGTAGAGCCCAAATGACATCTGGTTTAGGCTGACCAAACAGAGCCTTTTAAAAAGCTATCGTTTTGAACTAAATTACTATATCCAAACTTGCCAAAGAATATCACCGACATCGAAAGTCCTAAAGAGGCAGGAGTACTCTTTTCTTTCTAAAGTTTCTTCCCAATATGGGGAGGCAGATTCAACATGGAATGTCGGTTTTTCGAGAGAAACACCTAACTGGCGTCACATCCCACACGGCTTCGCTTCTGAACCCTGCACTGCAATGGCAACTGTTTTCAGTATGGTATTACTCAACAGACTTTTCTGGCATGATGAGACCTTCGGCTAATTTGGATCATAGTGATTGGTGTGTGCTAGCACCACAATACAGCAACTTTTAGTGGATTATATCACTCGAACACCAGTTCGTGGACACCCAAAAAAAGACCACAAATAAGCATCGTATCACAGACATTTTTATTCCGTACGGACTCATTCAGTCGGATAGCGTACATGCGATCGTCGATTTGAATGTTATTAGGAAGCGCTTTCTCTACTCTACAACCTAATACTACATCTAAATCAGAGAGTTTACGGAGAAAGATTATCGGATCACATGCAAGGTGAGGCGAATAATCACAATTAGGTCCTGTATATGCATCCAAGATACACCATACATCCAGAGGAATGGCTATTGAGAACTGTTATTCGATTCTGAGGATATTTCAATAAGAAATAGGCAATGTTTTTAGGGGATTTGAAATACCTTCTTGCTGATTTGAACTGTTGACAATGGTTGCTGCAACAAGCTGGATGGGAGAACCGGTGGTGAAGGGAAAATGATAAGGAGTACATATTTGGGTTAGATGGCTTTTGTGTACCGGTGGAAGTGTTTGAACGACTGATACCTTCTAGCTTGGTACACTGTGAAAGTGGGTTTTTTGTGAGGCACCTCAAACATATAGTAGGTTAAACCTGTGTATCCACAAAATCCATGGGATATCCGCTCAAAAGTTGTGATAAACAGACTTTCCAGAAGTTTTTGATTCAACTGTTGTATCTAAAAACTGGGTGAAAAATATGCACTCAGCCGCCTTGTGCACATTTGTGCGGTACACAATGAGCCACACCTATCGTCTGAGGGTATACTACACTACCTGATCACCCAGATATTGGGAGGGGGAGCGAGGTTTCAACCCGTGACCCAATGGTTATAAGTCATCTTCCTAAGCCAATGAGCCACAGCTCTACTTAAATGAGGACAGGAAGTTATGTCACCTGACCTATAACCACTTGCTTCAGTGGGAGACCAAAACCGTGAGATGAAGATTTTTCTAACATGATTCAAGTTGACAGTGAAAGACCGTAAGAATCCCAAACTGCATTCTCCAGAATTTATTATTCAGACAGACATGGACAATACCTAATGTGAATTTAACAGCCACATGTAAACACAGGATGGTACAGAAAACAAATAACTAAATCGAAATGTATGGAAGTAGACAGAATTTCCGCAAACATGATAAACCAGTTCTATATTGTAATCACACACGACATGATTTAGTCGAAGCGTTCCTGCGGTCTGTTTCTCAGGTTTCAAGATCGTTAAGGGCAACTGGGAATAAATTAAGCTCAAGTTGAGTAATGCACGCCTATCAGTTGTCTTAGAAAGTAGTCATCAAATATCACTATTTTGCCAGTAGGTACTTCTCATGCAGCAGGTAAATATAAAACTTCGAATTTCTAGTTTTAGTACTTCTTGTCATGTTAATTTTTAAAACTGACATGTACACCACATATGTTGTGAAAACATTGAACGATCAGTTGATAAATTATCAAATAAAAGCAATCTTCGTTCAATTTAGGGAAACAAGTAACGAAACAAAGTAACTACTTTAGCGTGAGATTAACAAACAAAAAAGTATGTCAGCAGAAAGCTTCAAATCATGACAGAAATAAGAGTCCATATATATTTACAAATAGAGAATAAATGATGACTAATCGACCATACGGATTTCGTATGAAATAAAAAACATTAAGAGTGCCATACAGTTTGGGATTTTCACGGTTACGTGAGCGCATCATAACCAAACATGAACGCAAACGCAAATCAAGTGTTTGGACAAATGGCGTCTGTTAAGAAAACACACTGACATTAAAATGGAAACAAGAACTCTGGGTGTGACTTTTGGTATCGGAAAGTATGAACCTTATGACAAATCAAAACGTCGCATCGTGATTATAAACATTGCTATAAATAAGTCAGTTTGAAGAAAAACTGAAAGAATGAGAAAATTTGTCGCTGAAAGCACTATGTCAAACTACAGCATGGCACAGACTTTGAATCTGGGGAGTCAACTAACCGATGACCCTGGGTTACTGTAGACGTCTCCTGTCCACGAGCAGGTGTTTTACGGAGGATGGCCAGAGTTAATTCTTCAAAAGCTTTACTGACATTTTCTCCTGTTTTCGCACTGGTCTCTAGAAACCGAATCTAAACGAAGATGTCACAAAAAGTCTCTAATTACCCCAAATTGTCCAGCTTTTTGCAAACCCTCTTCATATGAAACGACACGACGATCAGCCACATCACACTTGTTGGCAACCACCAACTTTTCAACGTCGTTGGAAGCTAAAGAGTGGATATTCGTCACCCAACGCTGAATACTATCAAACGTTTTGCGACTAGTGATATCATATATTAGCATTATTCCCATAGCACCCCGGTAATAGGACGCGGTAATGGTTTGGAAGCGTTCCTGACCTGCTGTATCCCATATCTTCACCAAATTAGTGTTTTAGATGCTTTTACCTGGAGTTTTATTTTCTTGCCTTCCAACTCAATAGTTTTTATCTTAAAATCTATTCCTATAGTTGATATGAAGGTTGAAGTGAACGAGTCTTCTACGTAACGAATGAGTAAGCAGGTTTTGCCAACACCAGAGTCCCCAATAAGCAGAAGTTTAAACAGTACGTCGTAGGACTTCTTTGCCATCTCCTAACATGTCGGAAAACAATAAATAAAACCCCAAATACTCACATACACCTCAATTATGTCAGTGTTTGAAATAACGCTTGCAGATTGGGCAGACAAACTAGTTCAACAAAAAATGGTTCAAATGGTTATCGACGAAATACAAGATTATTCGCTTGACTGGCTTCCGCATCCAAAATCCATTATTTATTACTTCTTGTGGTTTTTAACCTGCATACAAATAAAAAGAAAGCAAAAAGTGGCAGCCAAAATGAGAAATTCAATTAGTTTTGAACAGATCTCATCCACAACTTAAATAAGTATGAAACCGGAGTTTAAAGGATCCAGACAAAATAGCCTGGATCGCGTCCACAGAAAGAGAATTCCAGGGTTTAAAAACCCTTGGGGAGTGGAAGCTGTGCCTAACATCTAACCTACTATGTTCCAGGCTTCCTTATGTGTCCTCTAAGATTAGTGCTGCAGCTAAGGTTCAATAGGGGATGAAGTGGGTGTCCACGCATGCTCAGGATGTCATGCGCCGTCATCAAGTCTCCTTTTAGTCTTCTCTGCTTCAAGGGATAAATATCCAGAGCAGCCGGTAGGTCGTCAAGTGTTTCAGACCTAAGTACTCTACCTCGACGGATGACAGTGTTAATTCTCCTATCTACTGGAGTGCGCAGATTGGGAGTGCAGGAGTACCCTTTGCTAGATTTTTGTTGTTGGGATGTAAAGAATTTGACCAATGCAAATGGGTCCCTCAGTCCATCATAGGCTAACGATTCCAATTCTTTGGGAGGTAGGGATAAGAGCGTCACTAGTTTGCATTTCTTCTGGTTGCTTCGTTGACCTCTCCAAAGACTGGCGTTATGTGACCCAACTTCCAAAGACTGGATATTTTCCCTCGACTTAGAGAAGTCTTAAAAGGCTGACTCAGAGGTTTAGATATAAGTGGTGCTCTTTACTGCAGTACCGCCCAATGGATTTCATTTGCTCCTAGAAAGATGCCTTTGGTGAACAGTAGCAGTCTACGCCGTACTAGCTGAACGCCTAAGTCAACTGCCACGAGTCCTACTTTGCTAGTGGGGTATTTGTTAACTCCTGAGTAGGCGTGCGATGACTGAAAGAATCATGAATACTGGTCGGTAAGGAGCTCAGCTGCTTCAGGGTCGCCACCACTCAGTCCGTTGGCACCTAGTAGTTCAGGGACACTCTCTTCAGCTTTCTGGAGCAGTGTAGCGTAGCACAACAGGCTTCCCAGGTTAGAAACAAACATATTTGTAAGCCTAACCTGGTGCCGTTATGAATCGGCTGTCAGTGACTTAGTGCCCTTGTTTCTCAATTAGTTGAACAGTCTGTAGAGTCACACACACTTCCCCAAAATCAGTAGCCTAGGGTTTGACGACTTTCGACATTGATGCTAACCGTGATAGTCTGACTGGACTCGCTAAGCTGAAGGCACCCGGTCAAGCATCCTGACCATTTGCCACGCTGTCGTGTTACGTTGCACTGCTCGTATTCGACTCCCTGGCCGGTTAGTTGGAACGCATCGGTATCTCGGCAAAACCATCCAAATATACTATTCCATCCGACTACGCTGTCGTGTTCTTCCTTGGTCTCGTGCTCGTGTGTATATAACAAGTCCGAATAATTAGTGATTGGTCTTTGCGTCTGTCAAGTTTGCACTAGGACAAATCCTAAATTGGTGAGCCCAACGTGATCACATATCCCGACCAACAACAAATATTGAATTGGTGTGCCTGTTCCATTTTATATTTGTATATTGTTTTCATTTCAGTAACATTCACATATCCATTTACTATACTTTCTCATGTCCGACCACACTCCCAAGCTTATTCGTATTAAGCCGACTACGAACACCAAATTGGCCAGACAATGCAGAAACATGGTTTCTGTATGCCGAGGCAGATTTTCGAGAACAGGGCGCCTCAGATCCTCATTCTCGATTTCTTGCTGTCACACGTTCACTACCGCGAGAATTAAACAGGTATGTTACAGCACACATGTTTAATCCTGAAGTAAGTGATCCTTATGCACTTCTAATGGCCGCACTCTTGAAGAAAAGCGATCTGACAGATCGCCAGCGCCTAGACGAATTACTTCGTAACATCGAGCTAGGCAGCTGCTCAGCTACTGAAGTCCTCGCACGCATGCGAGAAGTTATGGGTGCACGAACATTCGACGATGGCCTTTTCCGAGAACTATTTCTCTCAAAACTACCACAACCGGTGCAAACCGTGTTGGTGACACTGCAGTCAGTCCCACTCGATAACCTGGCAGATAAAATACTGGAGATTTCTAGCAGACCCGTCTCCAACGTATATTCTGTCTGCGGCAAACCAGACAGCCAGGATTCAGAGGTGACGAAGCTGTGCAACTCTGTTAAACAGTTGCTACGATCTCGAAGTCCTAGTTCACGTAGCACTCCACAGAAACGCATCTTAGCGCATCGCAGCAACTCGCGTGGTTGCCCCAAAACTAAACCTAACAGGGTGGAAAACCCTGAATGGTGCTGGTTTCATAATACTTACGGAGACGAAGCCAGAAAATGTCGGAAACCATGCAGTTTTAACAAGGACACAAACTCGGGAAACGGTCACGCCGGCACGTGTTCACGGCAACCGTAGCCGGCGGAAACAGCCGTTTGCTCTACGTCACGGATATTAAAACGAAAGTTCGCTACCTCGTCGACACCGGCGCAGAAGTTAGCGTTCTTCCAACACCGACAAAGGAGCGTCATCATGACCCATCCTTCAATCTTCAAGCAGCCAACGGCAAGGCAATCGCGACATTCGGGAGACAGTATGCCTACCTCAACTTAGGTTTACGCAAACCTATCCACTGGATTTTCCTCCTGACTGACGTCTCTATGCCCATCATTGGCATAGATTTGCTAAACCATTACGATCTACTCGTAGATGCTCGCCGTCGACGACTGATAGATAACAACACAAAGTTATCTATTGGCGGCACCACCTATGTAGGTCCGAGTTTAGCCATCGTTAGAACCAAACAATCAGGCGACGCGTCCTACCAAGCAGTTTTGGAGAAATATCCAGAGTTGCAACAACCGAAGCACACTCTTCCGTGCATAACCAGCAATGTTATGCATCACGTCACAACCACAGGTCCACCTGTGGCATCCAAAGCGCGCCGTCTAGCCCCCGATAAGCTCAAACCGGCGAAAAGCGAATTCGACCACATGCTCGAACTGGGCATTATCAGACCGTCAAACAGTCCTTGGGCATCGCCATTGCACATGGTTCCCAAAAAGGATAGCAACGACTGGCGTCCAACCGGTGATTACCGAAGGCTTAACGCCAAAACAACTCCGGACTGCTACCCGATACCTCACGTTTACGATTTGACTGCAACCTTATGCGGAATGAACATTTTCTCCAAAATCGACTTGGTCAAAGCGTACAACCAGATACCTATGGCAGCAGAAGATATCGCGAAAACAGCCATTATTACTCCTTTTGGCCTGTTTGAATTCCTGCGCATGCCATTTGGTCTTCGGAATGCAGCACAAACATTCCAACGCTTTATGGATGATGTCTTCCGTGGTTTGAATTTTGTTCATGTCTACATCGATGACTGTCTAATTGCGAGTCCAGATAAGGAAACTCACCTTAAACATTTGGACCTCGCATTCGAAAGACTTAAAAAACATGGCATCACAGTCAACTTACAGAAGTGTGAAATAGGAGTTGAATCACTCAGCTTCCTTGGGCATACCATTGACAACAAAGGTATACGCCCATTGAGAGATAAAGTGGCGGCTATCACAAACTATCCAGAGCCGACCACTGTGAAACATCTCCGCACTTTCAATGGCCTGGTAAGTTATTACCGAAGGTTTATCCCTAACTGTGCCTCTGTCATGAGACCACTAACAGATCTACTTCGAGGAACTGCGAAGTTCGTGTCTCTGGACAACGCGGCTAGACTTGCTTTCTCTAAAGTCAAGGAAGCCATTTCGAACGCAACCATGCTTATGCATCATGACCCCAATGCTCCTTTGAGTATTGCTGTTGATGCATCTGATTCAGCAATTGGAGCAGTTTTGCAACAATTGACTGACAACCAGTGGCAACCGTTAGCCTTTTTCTCGAGGCGGCTGCAAGACGGGGAAACAAGATACAGTACATTTGGTAGGGAACTCCTAGCTATGTACTGTTCTGTACGCCATTTTCGACATTCTGTGGAAGGTCGTGATTTCATTATTTTCACAGACCACAAACCGTTAACATTTTCCCTCAGCTCGGCGTCTGACAAATACTCCCCGCGTGAGTCGCGACAGCTGGATTACATTTCCCAGTTCACGTCAGACATCCGCCACATTTCTGGAGCAAATAACTCCGTGGCCGACGCACTATCTCGAATAGCTTCGATAAATCATATCGAGGGCTTTGATCTCGTTGAACTAGCTCGGCGTCAAAAGGAAGACCTTGAGCTGCATCATGAGTTGTCGTCCACAACTCTCAAGCTGCGACTTTGTCCGGTTGGATCAGACAAGGATGCAATTTTGTGCGATGTCTCTGCTAGTCAACCACGCCCAATAGTTCCGAAGAGTTGTCGACGCAACGTCTTCAATACGTTGCACAAACTCTCTCATCCAGGTGTACGAGCCACCATTAGGCTTATCGCACAACGTTTCTGCTGGCCTGGGATGAACAAAGACGTTAAGAAGTGGGCTCAGTCGTGCTTAGCTTGTCAAAAGTGCAAAGTCACGCGACACACGAAAAGCCCTTTAGGCTCTTTTCTAGCCTCAGACATGCGTTTCGACCACGTCCATATAGATATTGTAGGACCTCTATCAGAATCTGATGTATGTACCTACCTTTTCACTTGTGTTGATCATTTCACACGATAGCCAGAAGCAGTACCTATTAATGATGATGCTGCTGAAACAGTAGCTCATGTTTTCATAGAAAGATGGATCGCGAACTTCGGTTGTCCATCTTACGTCGCAGCCGACCGTGGGGGCCAATTTGAGTGTG